CCTTTTTTTCCGCAAGCACAGCGGAGCTGAGAGATTCAAGCTGGCATGCAGTATATTGGTTGTTGTTTCCAATAAAAGATGAATCCGAGATCTCCAGGGGAGCAGTGAGCCGCTCACTCAAGGAAGGCTGTAGTTCAGAATGCCATTCTTCCAGATTGTCCTTGGAATATCATTGCAAGCAGGCCCCTAGGGAAACTCCCCTTGGGCAGACTGGCCACTCAGAACTCAGTCATCTGATCCCATCATGGGAACAACCACACAGAACTGGGGTCCAGCCAAGTTGACACACAGCTCCAACCATCACACATAGTGACCATAGAGAACAGGGGAAAACTGCCCCATAGGGTTTCCAAGGCTGTAATTTTTATGGTAGCAGACTATCACATCTTTCTCCTACAGACTGATAGGTTCAAACCACCAAACTGCCAACTTCTTGACCTTTTTGGTTAGCAGCTGCCCACTCAACCACTGTACCACAAAGGCTCCTTGCTAATATATCTGTTGTTGTTGTTGTTATTTGCCATCAAGTCGGCCCCGACTCATAGCGACCCCTCCTTGGGTTTCCCAGGCAGTATCACTACGGAAGTAGGAATGCCCAACCTTCCTTCCGAGGCTAATATAGCTAGCAAGGTTAAATGAATATAAATTAAAAATGGAAATCAACAAGCTTGCTTTTGGATTTAATGTAAAATAACCAACCCTCAGTTACCCTAAAAAGAATACAAACACATCTAAGTTGAAATTTGACTTCAGTTTTGAAGGAAAGATCATCTTCAACATTCTTTATAGTTTTTAAGTTTTATTTGAAGCATCATAATTATTGCTAGCTGGTAGCTGCAAGATCTTCATCCCATGGAAAACATCTGACCAATTTTCCTATTCTTATACAACCACCAAAGAGAAACACAAAGGCATTCTTCTTTATCTTATCCCCTATCATCACCTCTGAAAGAAAGCAGCTTACACTGTTTTGTTTAAACTGTGGACCAGTTATCCCAGCAAACTAAAACTTTATCTAAAATATATCTTGACAGACTGATCACCAAGCTCTCAACCCAGTCTGAAAATTGGTTCCTTTCCCATAGCTTCCTATATGTATGGCTAGTCCCTAAAATATTTTGTGCTCAGTTATAGCTTCCTAGGGAGCCTTGTGGTACAGTGGTTAATGCATGGCTGCTAACCAAAAGGTTGGCAGTGCAATCCTACCACCTTCCAGGAGAGAGAGATGTGGCAGTCTGTTTCCATAAAGATTATCAGCTTTGCCAAACCTATGGGGCAGTTCTATTCTTATCCTATAGGGTCATTATGAATTGGAATCAACTCAATAGCACTGGGTTTTAGCTGCCTAACATTTCATCTGCTTTACAAAAAAAGGTCACCTAAATACCCAATGCATGAATTCTCATTTATCTAAATCACATTTTCATCGTAGGAAAAGTAGTTTAGAAGCATCATGGACTATGTAAGACTAAAGGCAATTCAAAGGATGACCAAAAAGCAAATAAATCATACTTAAAATTCTCCTCTTTTTTCAGTTGTCCAAAAAGGCCAGATACTTGTTATTCTGAAAAGGTCTCTTTTGATTAAAATTTTCAATGCATTAAACATTACAGTTCTTAGTTGACATCTGAGCATTATAACATAATTTCTCCCAGTCTTATAAAAATTTAAACACATTTTTCTTACTCATAGACATTAATAGCTTCATTGAAAGAAAAACTTATATAAACCACTATTATCTTTTGACATTGCCCATGGAAGTTATCATTTGATTTTAGAATCGTTAATATTGGTGTATCTCTTTCCCCCTATTTTTTTCCCCCCAAAAAATTAACTTTAATTGCCATTTTACATTACATGTGTTTTACAATTGTAAGCCACTCAAATGCTTTCTGGAAGGTTTACTATAAATCATGATTGAAAATGACTAACCCTGACTAAAGCATAAACAGATGTCTGATTAAAGTACTAACCACGTTTCTCCCAAATACATCAATCCTAGAGGGCAATAAATTCCAATGGTCGTAATTTTCAATATAAAATATCCATACAGTATGTCAGATTGCTGGAATCTAATAACCTGCCTTTGAAGTTTAATGTGAAATACATACACACATGCATTCATCGTGTTGGATAAGGAATGTGAAACTCATTAGGTACGTTCCCCAAATGCATCCAAACAGATGAACAAGACTGAAGACTACATCAGTGCCTATTTACTTAAAACTTTCAAGAAAAAATATTTACAATGATTTAAAGACTCCTGTGTAAATAGCTATCTAAATTCAGAATAAGTTGGGAAGGTTAGGGTCAAACACAGCTGAGCCCCACTCAGCTCTAATGAGATGAATCTTTTAACTACAAAGCTTGTTTCCTTAATGTGTGGTTTCTGCAGAACTTGGTAAGATCTGCTGAGCACCATAGTAATCTCTTAAGATGCAAATCAGAAACACGGTCCTATATTTAAAAACACCAGAAGTGGTTTTAGGACAACAGAAGCACCTCTGTAGCCACTAAAATAAGCAAGTTTCTGTTATTAGCAAAATTACCAACATGGCAAATCCTTTAACATTTCAGCAACCAATACACAGAAAATACTCTTAAAAGTCTACGCTATGTTTTGATTATTCCTTTGGATCTTTGAACCATAGTTAAAACATACAGAAAATAATGGGTTGTCATAAAGCTTTTGACTACCTGATATGCTTCTTATGAAAGAATACTTATCTGAGCCAAGTATGGTGCTGAACTAGGACCCAATGCTCGGCAGGTACTCCTGCTGCTCTGGCCTACCGAGTAGTGACTAACAAGTGGGCACGCTTCAGTAAGACTTTACAGCCTGGCATAATAATGAAGACCAACACATTCAGTTCTCCTGGAATCAATTCGAGAAAGAGATGACTAGTATTATGGATGTACTACAAATACAAAGGTCTAAAGCTGGCACATATGCCCAATAAACCAAAAGCCCTTGCTAACTCATACTGAACACATTTGCAAATATTAACATCATATTAAACTGAATATAATCCAATGAATACTATACATAATCATCTTTAATATTTATATACATGGTACTAAACTCCAAAAAGGTCAGACTTACAAGAGCATTATTAAAAAGCACATTCCTCATTATTTTTTTAAGGTTATGAATCGGCTTTTCTATTGAAGCAATTTATATTTTGCCTAGTTCCCAAATAGGCATCAGATTTCTAATAGAAGAAAAAAGTCTCAGCCAAATAGTCATAGATTAGATATTCAAACTCATCTAAGAAAATCAAATTAATAAATTGAATAAATTAACTTTAATAAATAAAGTATTTATTTAAATAGTTATAGAAGAGTGCACATTCGGAAAAGAACTGCAGCTTTTGGTCAGTGGCATGTGAAATCAAAGGCAAAAATCTGCCAAGATTAAGGCAGGTTTTTTTTTTTTTTTATATACATACACATTTATATATGTGTGTGTATACACACACACACACACACATAAATTAAAAAAAAAAAAAACTCACTGCTGTCGAGTCAGTTCCTACTCATAAAGACAACCTCCTAGGGTTTCCAAGGCGGTATCTCTACAGAAGTACATTGCCCAATCTTCCCTCTCTAAGGAGTGGCTGGTGGTTTAAACCGCCAGTCTTCTGGTTAGCAGTCAAATGCCTTGGGCACTACGCCACCAGACCTCTTACACACACACACACATACAGTACAATGTATTTTCCCTCAAGTTCATTTAGTGTTCCTTTTGATGTTATTTAAAGTGCATTGCCAAGCTAGGGTACAAGCTTCTAATTTAAAAAAAAAATAGCATAGAAAGTTCCTTTTGTTTTAGAGTCCTCCTTACAACTATTAACAGCATTTTCTTTTAACACACTTAGTCTGAGAGATTATTGTGACAATCATATGACTTGAAGGCAAAAGCCTGGGCACTAAAATGACAGCTGTCAGGGTGATAGTCGTTGTAAGGAATCACTTTCTTCCTCTGCTGGAGTCAATTTGAGTGTTGGCAGTTTCCGAGGGGGAAGTTGAGGGCTTTGGCGAAGATTGTCATCCATCTGTACAAAGTACAAAAGATACTACTGACTAATGGCTGTGGTACCATTCATGTGGACTGTGGCCTCCCCACCCAAGATACAGCCTAGAAGAGTACAGAACCATATGTTTCTAAGATTGCAAGAGAAATCTTTCTTTTCACAAATAATCTCACAAGAATTTGAAATGTCATACCTCAAATACCAGCTGACTCAGTATCTGAAAAAAGCAATGTGGCTCATCCTTGATACCTTCACAAATCTAAAGTAATTCCACAAAATAACTCTAGCACAGTATGTGTGACACAATGTTAAGAGGTGTTCTATATTAAATTAAAAAATAAATACTTCTGTTACACTAAGCTTCATAGTTTATGAAGTACATGCACATCCAATACCTCATTTGATTCTCCCGACACAGTTGTGAAAAAGAAAGAGGAGACACAATGACCCCTTATTTTAAAGATTACCAAAATGAAGCTCAGAAAGGTTAAGTGATTTGTCCCAGGTTACAAATCTAGTAAAAGAGCTGAGATTTGAACCAGATCTTCTTATTCCAACATTACTGTTCCTTCAAGTATACCTCACTCCATCAATGAAAATGACCTGTACTTTACTCCAAAAGGCCAGCTCTGTTAAGCTGAGAGTATTTAAACAAAAGGAAGCTAGGAAAAGCAGCAGAAAGGAAGATAAATCCTTTAGACTTAATCCAGAGATCTTCCCCATACTGGATCAGTTCTAAGCAGGGCTTCAAACCAGTTCTTCCCCGTCTAGTCACACTGATAAAAGTGAAACCGAAATGGACTTGAATTTGTAAAATGTGAACTGGAAAAACTACTGGCTGAAGCCCTGCTAGAAAGTTAATCTCACTCTTAGAAAACAAGGCCAGCACATGTGCTGCATAGCAACCAAATCTCTTGACCAGCAGACTTTCCAACAACCGTGCCTGGCTCAAAGATGATGGCTCACTGCAATGCTTTGAAAGTATGTCCCTCTCCAATCCTGACAAGAATCCAATCTCTGGCATCAGGCTCCTGAAAGGGCTCATCACTGCCTCTTCTGAGCCTCCCATTGCAAGGCTTCAACCTGTAACTTTTCCCATTCTGGATATTGTTCCAAACACCCACATTTTACAAATTCAGGTTTGTTCTGATTTCACGCTGTTGGCCAGAACCAGTTCAAAGCTTGCCCTGGAGAAAGAAACTGAGGTAGAACATATTAAGAAAATGCCCAAGAGCCCCAGACTTATCCTAAGAAGAGCAGTATCAGCATCCCTGGGAACACTAGGATAGGCTTCATTCAGAACTGAGTCTATCTTTAATTGAGAGCTATCTCTAACCAGACTACCTGACAAACAGAGTACAAGATTCAGGTCCTGGTGTTGAGTTCACTACCAGTTTAATTTCATAATAGACTTGCAACCAGCTGCCATTAAAAAAAAAAAAAAAAGAAAGAAAGAAAACCATAAAACCAAGAGAAAGAAAACCACAAAACCAAGAGAAAAGGGCATCATTATTATCCACTTAATAGGCAGGCTTTTTCAAAGTCTGAGCATGTGCAGAGCATTCAAAAGTTTCCCTTAGGTTCTCAAAATGGTTATACAAAGCACAGAGGAAATGTTTCAGTAATGGTACACAAAATCTGTAGGAAAGGAAAGAGAACAAAAGAATTATGGGAAAAAAAGTATTCCTAGTGAACAACTGAATCAATTGTGAAAAATCTTTTTTTTTTTCCTTGCAAGAACTAAGTTCCTCAAATATAACTCTACTCCCCACTCAAGAGCAGGTATGACTAAGTTCAGACGAGGGAGGATGCCTGACTGCAATAGGGTCAGGAAACTCACATACTGATGAGGATCTATAATGGAATAGTATAAAGTGGTGACAGGACCTCTTGGTTTCACCTCCTGCATGTGTAGGTATTTCACAGCTCCCTTTCCAAGTCTGCCATAAATTTGGCACATATGTAAGACAGAAACTATAGTGGATAGGCTTCTTCTAGCAGAAGAGTGTCTAAAACAGTCCAAGTGATCTTTTCTTCATCTACACTTAACACTCAATATATTCCCTCTCATGTGATGGGCTCAGAATTAGACAGACTAGGCTTTAACTCAGGAGCTCTGGTAGCATAGTGCCTAAGGCATTTGACTACTAACCAGAAGGCTGGCAGTTCAAACCCACCAGCCACTCCTTGGAAGGAAGGTTGGGCAATCTACTTCCATTGATACCGCTTGAGAAACCCAAGGAGGGGTCGCTATGAGTCTGATCCAACTTGACGGCACATAACAACAATAACAGGCTTTAACTCAACTTACTAAAACTTCAATAATGGATGCTTACAGTGTTACCACTTCAAATGATACCACCACATATAAAACCACAAAAAGATAAAGAATTTCTCCAGACAATGATAGCTATAAACCTGACTACTAGTACCATGAGTAATGGATACATAATCATATTCATTAGTTGGCCAATTGCTGGCGAGAATAATCCCAGAGCCCAAATTTTGGATCGGTCTCTGGGGTGAGACTTCTAGGTTTAAATTTCCTCTCTACTTCTTGCCAGCTGAATGAACTTGGACACATGGCATAAGCTACTTTCCAAACTTCAGTATGTGCATCTATAAAATGGGGATGATGATAATGCCTGCACACATAGAGCTGTTGTGCAGATTAAATGAGGTAACTCATATAAAGCTCATAATACAGTGCTTATAACTCTGACTTCAAAAACTATTCGCCAGTGTTATTAAGTCACATTGCCCCTTCATTTATGAAAGAATGAAATATTACTCATTTGTACAAGAAAAAAGCAAGTTATCAGGCACTTGAAAAAAAATGAGTAACCCTCTTGAGTTTTTCCAATTAGAATCACCCTCAAGATTTCTATTGCTGGCTCTCTCCCTTATCTAGTTCTTCAGTATCTTTTGTAGCAAATGAATATACCCTCAAAGCAGCAAAAAATCCACACTGGTGAAAAAGTGTAGACATTTAGAACACAGAAGGATAGTTAGGAGAAAAAAATGGAAGGAAGAAAAAACATATCATAACACTACTAACAAGAAGGGAGCTGTGGTAGCATAGTGCCTAAGGCACTTGACTGCTAACCAGAAGGCAGGCGGTTCAAACCCACCAGGCACTCCTTGGAAGGAAAGTAGGACAATCTACTTCCATAGTGATACTGCCTCGAAAACCCAAGGAGCTATGAGCTGGGTTCAACTCAATGGCACATAACAACAATAACTAACAAGAAAGGATAAACACAGGATCTTAAAATCACAACAAATGTTCATCTTCAGAGACAGAGACAGGCAGACAAGGAAGAAGGGGTGTGTTTGTTTAAAGCCAGCTTTTTGGGCCTCCTAACTTAAAAACTACTAACTGTGAGGTAAATGTAAACCCAAAACCATTACCCAATCTTCCTCCAAGCAATTAGGCCACTGCTGGCTTCAAAACACTGTATTATATACAACTTTGGTAAATGTATATTTAAACTGCTTTCTGGAAAATAAACTATTACTGAAAAAAACTAAAAGGGTAAAGTTAATGCATGACCCAAATTGTATCACTCACCACAGAAAGGAAAATACTAAACTACTATAAAGTAATAATTGAAGTAATCTTGACCTTTTCAATCAAGTTGGATTCCTTATTTACAAGCTGTGTGAGTTTCTGCAGATTTGCATCTACGGTATCTTGTCCAGTTGGAGAGATGCCTAAGAAGCCAGGACAGAAATCAGAGAAAGACAGGAAATTTTGAAAGCCTTTAAAGTGGTTTAGATTGAATGAATTATGAGTCTACCCACCCTCCCAAGAGCCCCACTCTCCAAAAAAATAGGGCAAAGAGAAAAACCAATCTGTGTTCAAAGGGAAAGTTAGAGGGATAGTTATGCTCCAAAATCAAACCCTAAGCTAAAGGACTAAAATTTGTCCTCTAAGTGAACACTGTTAGCCATAGTATTACAAAGCAAGCCAAAGTCATCAATGAGTCATCAGTGAAAGAGCACAGCAGTCCTTATTTCCTTCTCAAATTTAAGTTGTACCTTTTCCCCCACCCCTTTCAGATAGGTCTTTGATTACAACTATTTGGACAGTTTCTAAGACAGTGATTTCCAATTACCCACCAGGCATCCAAAATATCTGGAGGGATACAAAAAAAAATATGGATTCCTGGGACCTATCCCTGAGAGAGTCTAATTCAGTAAGTCTGGGATAGGAGCCAAGATTCTTTCTGTATTTGTTGGGTATCAGGTTTGGTAACCACCACTCCACAGTAACAAGGTAGCTATTGTTACTTGCCACTGAGTTGATTCCAACTCTCAGAGACTAGTGTGTCCCGAGTAGAACTGTTCCATAGCATTTTCAAGGCTGTGACCTTTCAAAAGCAGACTGCCAAGTCTGTTTTCCACAGCATCTCAGGGTGAGCTCAAACTGTCAACCTTTTGGCTAGTCTAACACTTTACTTTCTTAACTCTCAAACTACCAGCTCCTCCCTATATACTAAATGTATAAACTGTTCATAAAAATAAACTGTCCACCTAAGCTAGCTCTTCTTATGACTTCTGTCTCTTAAAAGGAAAATTCCAGCCTATTCTCCCAATATAAATTTAGTATCCCAATCACTTAAGGAGCTCTGGTAGCATAGTGGCTAAGATACTTGCCTGCTAACCAGAAGGCTGGCGGTTCAAACCCACCAGCCACTCCTCGGAAGGAAGGTTGGGCAATCCTACTTCCGTAGTGATACTGCCTCGGAAACCCAAGGAGGGGTCGCTATGAGTCGGGGCCGACTCGACGGCACATAACAACAACAACAACAACAATCACTTAAGTTCATGGTTCCACATTCCCCGAAGAAGCATATCCTAAATGACTGGTGCTCTCTATTGACCACACTTCCAGTCTACTACAATCAGTTTTCAAGGAGTGGAATCGTGGGAGTGCACCTCACCAAAATCAATCTGCTTTTGATTTCTGTTCATGCAGGAAAATGCTAGAAGCAGCAGGTTAAGTATCATTTAAAGGAACTGCACATTTGGATTAGGATAAATGCTATCTTTCCCCAGGGACTTAATAAATACCTGTGGTTCAGTCCTTTAGAAAAAAAGGACCCACTTCAAAGGTGCGATATTTAAAGACCAAGAATCAAGAAATATATAAAATGCAGAACAGATAAAAGGTAAATAAATATCTATTTATCTAACACACATGGGAATATAAAGTTGGAAAAATGTGATTTTTTTAAAAAATCAGCATTAGAACACAGCACAGAAACTTCACTGAAACAGTAATGAATTCTGATTTTGTCTGAGGGACTACCTACTCAATATGCAAACATTAGCTCAAGGGGAGGTAGCTTACCTGCAAGGCTAAGCCTAAAATAACTGCTTAGGATGTCATCACAGAAGCGACACAGGTTGGAAAGCTGTTTCAAATGTTGTTGTAACTGAACTTTAGGAAAGCGCACTTTGTAAAGAGGTGCAAGAAAACCAAACACATAGGCATCCAAGGTAGAAGGCCTAAAAATAAAGAATTTAAGAAAAGCATAGTAAATCTATGATAAATTACTTCCTATTGAAAAGGTTTCTATAACAAAAATCCATTAAATCTTTTTTTTTTTAAGTGCAAAACTAACCTTTTACAGGGACAAGGGAACTTCCTTTTGAGTAACTGCTCACTGACTATATGTGCACAAAATATCAAAATGATTTTTCTGTTTTTTTCAGAATGATTTTTAAAGGAATATACTCACGTATCGCCAAAGAAAAACTGAGATGTTCCCAATCTCTTTGACAGAAGATTTAGGCACTCCTTGGCATCTCTGTATATCTAAGAAGGATGAAATTACATTTCAAAAGTAGGAAAGATGTTTTAAAATGATTTCTTAGGCAGGCATGTAGAGGCAGTCACCTCTGCTATCTCTTTGTCCCTTCTCTGGTGAGCCCTTGCTCTTAAAGCAGCCCAGATGATACCTGTGCTTCCACTTCTCGAAGGTGGTAGAGAGGGGGCTCCCCTCTGGTCAGGAGAATCCTATTCAGTGCTCCTTTAGACATTCTTCCAGGCAGGATCAAACTCAAGGGAAAAGGAATTCGTGAAGCAAACCATGGTTTCGTCACAGTAAAGTAATTGTCACTCTCAACCCAAAACGTGTGAAGCTGCACAGAGAAGGAGAAAAACACTACAAATATGTCCTTTTATAAAAAGAAAGAGCAATTAATCAATGTGATAGTTTTCCATCAAAGTATGTGTATAAAGAGACATCATCCAAATTTTCCCGTTAGAATGACTCAAGGATAAAAGATTATTTTAAACATGTTTTGTTGACTACTACATCCCAGGCACCTAGAATACGGCCTGGCGCATAGCAAATTCTCAATAAATACTTCTCAAGTGAATGATTTATGGTTCCATCAATTATATACATGGAACAACAAGCTTAACCTCTCACAGAGAAATTTTATTTCCAAAATGATATTATCTTTTACTTTGTTGTTTCACAAAGTAGTCGAAGGTCTAACAGAATCCCATTTCACAGTAATATGACAGTCAAGATTAATACATAAAGGAAATACTTTCAATTTTTTAAGCCTTTTTCATTGTTTTTCTTCTAAATAGACTAAATGCATTTTCAACTATGTCAGTAAAATACAGTCATATTTCTGAATGCTCACCACTGCAGGAAGAAGCTTCTCTTCAAGGAGAGCAATGTAAGCCAGTGTATCAGCACCTTGTTTGGCTGAGAGTTCATAATCAGCATTGTATTTCTATCAAAAAACATAAAACCCAGAGAACCTTAGAAGTCAAAGGCCATCTCAAACACAGTGAAGCTCAACAAATTATGATTCCTATTTTTACTCACAAATGGCAAACATGATATTAAAAGCGGGAAAAGAGATACACAACCCAGTAAAAACTGCTACTTGACAAACCTAAACCTCACAGCACAGTATCATGCACTAGTATCATGCAAAGTAAGGTCGTAAATGTTCATGATTTCTCATTAACTACTATGAATTCAATGAAGAAAAACGTGGTATCAGGATTGGAGGAAGAATCATTAACAACCTGAGATATGCAGACGATACAACTTTGCTTGCTGAAAGTGAGGATGACTTAAGGCACCTACTGATGAAGGTTGAAGAATACAGTCTGCAGTATGGATTACATCTCAACATAAAGAAAACAAAAATCCTCACAACTGGACCAATGAGCAGCATCACAATCAATGGAGAGAAGATTGAGGTTGTCAAGGAATTCACATTACTTGGTTCTACAATCGATGCCAACGGAAGCAGCAGTCAGGACATTAGACGACGTGTAGCATTGGGAAAGTCAACTGCGAAGGAACTGTTTCAAGTGCTGAGGAGCAAGGATATCTCCTTGAGGACTAAAGTGCGCCTGACACAAGCCATGATATTTCCAATCGCCTCGTATGCATGTGAGAGCTGGACAATGAATAGGGAAGACCGAAGAAGAGTTGATGCTTTTGAGTTGTGGTGCTGGCGAAGAATGCTGAAAGTACCATGGACTGCTAAAAGAACTAACAGATCTGTCCTGGAGGAAGTGCAGCCAGAATGCTCCTTGGAAGCAAGAATGGCCAGACTTCGTCTCACCTATTTTGGTCATGTTGTAAGAAGGGACCATTCCCTGGAGAAGGATGTCATGCTTGGTAGGGTGGAGGGTCGACGAAAGAGGGGGAGGCCTTCAACGAGATGGATTGATACAGTGGCTGCGATGATGGGCTCGAGTATAGCAGGGATTGTGGGGCTGGTGCGGGATCGGGCAGTGTTTCGTTCTGCTGTGCATGGGGTCGCTATGAGTCGGAAACGACTCGACGGCACTTAACAACAACAACAACAACTATGAATTCAATGTTTGAGCTCTGGTGGCATAGTGCCTAAGGCACTTGACGGCTAACCAGAAGGCTGACGGCTCAAACCCACCAGCCACTCCTCGGAAGGAAGGTTGGGCAATCTACTTCCGTAGTGATACTGCCTCAGAAACCCAAGGAGGGGTCGCTATGAGTCGGGTCCGACTCGATGGCACATAACAACAACAACAACATGAACTTAATAAAAGGAAGCTATTATTTTTGTTAATAAGGAAAAAGTTCCAATTGGTTGCATTGTTTTTTCCCATAAGAGGAAAAGGTCTTCCAATTTAGGAAAGTTCTAAATTCTATTGACACAGGATTTAAAAAAAAAAAAAAAAAACTTGGCAAAACAATGATACGTTTTGCATATACATAAATCTTTTCATGTTTAAACATTTTTGTTACATTATTCCATGAAACATTTATTTAACTGTAGCTATCAGTTAATTAAAGAAGCTGTGGTGAGGTAGTGCCTAAGGGATCTGACTGCTAACCAGAAAGTTTGTGGTTCAAACCAAATAGCCGGTCCATAGAAGGAAGACTGGGCGATCTACTTCTGTAAAGATTTACCACCTCGGAAACCCAATGCAGGTCACTATGAGTCGGAAATGCCTCAACGGCAGTGGGTTTGGTTTTTCTTTTGGTTTATCAGTTGATAAAGTGCTTATTAAAAAATAACAGTTAACTGCTGGTTGATAAGAACTCAGATATTATACTTAGCACAGAATGTGTAGCAATTGTGTAACTTTTAAAGTGACAATCTGTCTCACAGACTGGAAGATTAAACATTATGAAAATGTCAATACTACCCAAAGCAATCTATATATTCAATGAAATACCAAACTAGATTCTAGCAACATTCTTTAAGGACATAGAAAAGATAATCACTAAATTTCTATGGAAAGAAAAGAGACCTAGGATAAGTAAACCACTACTGAAAATGAAGAACAAAGTAGGAGGTTGCATACTCCCCAATCTCAAAACCTACTACACAGCCATGGTAATCAAAACAGCCTAGTACTGGTACTACAATTGAAACATAGGCCAGTGGAACAGAATTGAGAAGTCAGAAACAGATCCATCCACCTATGGATAGCTTATCTCTGACAAAGGGCAAAAACCCATTAAATGGAGAAGAGACAGTCTCTTAACAAATGATGCTGGGTACCTACTCGCAGAAAAATGAAACAAGATCCATACCTCATACCATACACAAAAACTAACTCAAGATGGATCAAAAACCTAAATGTGAAACCTAAAACTATAAAGTTCATTAAAGGAAAAACAGGAGCAAATTTAAGAGGCCCTAATTTATGGCATTAATAGACTATCAAACATAGCCAGTAACACACAAACAGCAAAAGATAACTAAATGACTGGGACTTACTGAAAATTCAGTTCTTATGGTTATCAAAAGACTTCTCCAAAAGAGTAAAAAGAGAACCTACAGACTGGGAAAAAATATTAAGCAATGACATATCAGACAAGGAACTCATCTCTAATTTATAGAAAACTCTAACATTTAATATCAGAGAGATAAACAATCCAATGAAAAAATGGGCAGAAGATATGAACAGACACTTCACCAGAGAAAATATTCAGGTGGCCAACAAACACATGAAGAAATGTTCACAATCATTAGCCATCAGAGAGACACACATCAAAACAACAATGAGGTATCGTCTCACGCCAGCAAGAATAGTAAAGTTCAAAAACACAGGAAATAACAAATGTTGGTGGGGATATGGAGAGATTGGAAATCTCATACACTGCTAGAGGGACTGTAAAATGGTGCAACCACTGTGGGAAATGGTATGATGTTTCCTTTAAAAGATGGAAATAGAAATACCATTTGATCCAACAATACCACTCCTAGGAATATATCCTAAAGAGGTAAGATCTGGGACATGAATAGATATATACACACCCATGTTCATCACAGCACTGTTTATGACAGCAAAGCCATGGAAACACCTAAGTGCCCATCAACAGATGAAGGATAATCAATATATGGTACATACATACAATGAAATACCATGCAACATTAAAGAATAATGAAGAATCCACAAAAGCCTCACAATGTGGATGAACTTGGAGGACATTATGCTGAGTGAAATAAGCCAATAGAGAAGAACAAACACTGTATGAGTCTGTTATTATGAAAAGTCAAGGTAAGGTTTACACAGAGAAGGAAAGTATCTTTGTTGGTTACCAGAGACAGCAGGGGAAGGAAGAGAAAATTGCTTGCTTGTTAAGAGACAGGTGTTGATTTGCATGAAGAGATAGACAATATAATAAAAGAGTGTGACCAGCACAATATCTCTAAGGAAAAAGAAGACACAGAGAGGTATATAAAAGGTACAGACAATAAAGGTAAATACTATTACATCCATAATACAGCATCATCAGCAATAGCAAACACTATGGGTGGTTACATAGGTAGACAAGCAAGAAGATCAGGTATGGCAGGCGGCCAGGAATATACGCATGACCATACACAGGATGGGCAGACGATACTCCTACATGTGTATTTCTACATGCTATAAAAACGTCCGTATGCAATATAGAGCTAACAGGGAACAAAGTTAGGACAACTTCTTACCACAGCTAAGCACTTTGAAGGAGTGAGCTGCTGAGCCTTATGGCTTGGGACCATGGTCATGGGGGACATCAAGCTCAACTGGCACAACACAGCACAGAGAACATTGTGCTATATCCTACTTCGATAAGTAGCATCTGGGGTCTTAAAAGTTTGCAAACAGCCATCAGAGATGTAACTAATGGTCTCTCCTCATTCAGAGCAAAAAAGAGTGAAGAAAATCAAAGATGCATGGAAATCATTAGTACAAAGGACTAATGGACCATGAGAACCTCAGCCTATATGACTCCGAGACAAGAAGAACTAGATAGATGGTGCCCACCAACCACTGACAAACACTCAGAAAGGGATCAGATCAGTAATAGCAAATACTAATCTATGGGTGGTTACATAGGTAGACAAGCAAGATCAGGTATGGCAGGCAACCAGGAGTATACCCACGACCATACACAGGTTGGGCAGATGATATTCCTACACGTGTATTTCTATATGCTTGGAGACCCTGGATAGAGTGGGAAAAATTATGGAACAAAATTTAAAAACATAAAAAAAGATGAAGAGTCATCCTTTGAACCTGAAATTGGACTCACTCCCATGGAAAACTTTCAACCAAACAGTAGACAAGCCTATGAGCTGACTAATTACATTAGGAGATGCTGGTGTAATTGTTTATTTAGAAAATAAACCACAGGAAATCAGAAGAGCAGCATTTACACAGGGAGAATGCTAGGGAAGCAGGAATGCATAGGCAGGAAGGACACAGGGAAAGGGTGACCACAGGGAGAAAGTGAGAGGAGAGCTGTTACAATGTAAGGATTGTAATCAATGTCACAAAACAAAATGTGTATAACCTGTTAAACATAAAATAAACCTGCTTTGTAAAATTTCACCCAAATCACAATAAAAAGTTAAAAGACAAAGATTTCCACTCCTCAGAAGGAAGGTTGGGCAATCTACTTCTGTAGTGGTACTGTCTCAGCAACCCAAGGAGGGATTGCTATGAGTCGTGTACAACTCAACGGCACATAACAACAACAATAATGTATGAAAAATTGGGAGCTCTGGTGGCATAGTGCTAAGGCATTTGACTGCTAACCAGAAGGCTGGCAGTCAAACCCACCAGCCACTCCTCAGAAGGAAGATGGGGCAATCTACTTCCATAGAGACACTGCCTCGGACACCCAAGGAAAGGTCGCTATGGGTTGGAAATGACTCGACGGCAGTGAGTTTGGTTTTTTGTTTTTGTTGTTTTATATATATAAAAATTTATATTTCTACTATTTTCATCAACTATCTACTAGTTGTAATTTTAATAAAACTCAATACAGAGAAAAATTGTGAACACTCAGAATCTTATGGTCACAAGAAATTTAAAATAAGCATTTTCCTTGTAGAGGATCAGGGTGACCAACAAAACAACAACAACAAAATGAGATATCATCTCATCCCAGCAAGAATAGCAAAGTTCAACAAGACAGAAAACAACAAATGCTGGTAAGGGTGTGGAGAGATTGAAACTCTTCATACCCTGCTAGTAGGACTGCAAAATTGTACAGCCACTGTGGAAACCAGTATATTGCTTCCTCAAAAGCTGGAAACAGAAATACCATTTGATCCAGCAATCCCACTACTAGATATACATCCTAAAGAAGTGAGAGGCAGGACACGAATACATGCATACCCATGTTTATTGCAGCACTATTCACAATAGCAAAGAGATAGAAACAATCTAACTGCCCATCAACGGATGAATGGATAACCAAATTATAGTACATACACACAATGGAATACTGTGCAACATTAAAGAATAATGCAGACTCCACAAAACACCTCATAAAGTAGATAAACTTGGAGGACATTATGCTGAGCAAAAGAAGTCAATCACAGAAGGACAAATACAGTATGAGTCCACTATTATAAGTCAAGAAAAGATTTACACATGGAAGGAAACTTTTTTTGTTGGTTACCAAGGATGGGGGTGCAGTGGAGGGAATAATGCTAGCTAGGTAAGAGACTCATATTGATCTGGATGAAGGGAAAGGCAATATACCAAAAGCAGGTGACCAGCACAGTATCACTAAGGAAGATACCAAGAGGTACACAAGAGGTACAAAAATAAAGACACAGAAAAGGTGTCTTGACAGGGAGGAAGTGGAAGAGGGTTGTTACATTGTGGGGATTTTAGTTAATGTCACAAAACAAAATGCCTATGTAATATTGAATGGAAAATGAATTTGTCCCGTAAACTTTCACCCAAATCACAATAAAAAGTTGAAAACAAATAATAAAGTGACAATTTGATTAATAAAATCCAAGAAAAATGCGTACAAATATAAATTGACTATACCTCACCAAATGACTTCCAGAACATAACAAAACTCATGCCTTAGAGCAGCGATTCATTCCCAAGGCTATTTCTATTAAATCCCAGGTATGTCTAACTGTCTAAAGAGTTGGCAAAACACACACACACACACAGTCTTAATATGTATTACTTAAGACTCCTTCAAAAGAAACCACCAACCTGTTTTCTTAAAAAGTTTAGTATTTTTGCCGGCTGAGAAACAATATTGTCTTCAGTTGTCAAAACTGGAACATCACCTAAAATCAGAAAACAATTTACACACAATGAGGCATTCTGATTTACTCTGAAGAGGTTCCAATACCCTAAAAACTATACCAATTGCACATTTGAAGGGAAAAAGAAATGGGTAAGCCCATCTTCCTTTTGCAATTTCACAAAGAGCAGTTTTAGAGAACATTTTTATTCCTAACATTTTCCACTTATTTTCCTTACACTTTGAGGTATTACTAAGAATGGTCAAATCATAAGCAATACACAGGCAAGGTCATGTAAAAAGAAATTAAAACCCCAATGTATTCAGTGGCTATACGCCCTGTGGTTTTAAATGGAAAAACTTTAAAGAGGGCAGAAAGGGATGTTGAAAAGTTTACACTGTACCTCTTGAACCTTTCCAGGTGTTATCTATGACATTGACTTTCAAGGGTGCACCAGAAAATTTGGCATAAGCCTGAAACAAGAGTTTTCAGTAAAACATTTTAGACTAAGTACGTAATACACATATGAGAAGCTGCTTTACTTCACAGCACCGTCCCCGGAGAGGAGAAGGCCCCTGCCAAAGCCCCCTCACTCCCCCTGACCACCCGCCGGGGACGCACGCGCCATCCACCCGGCTTTGAGAGACCTCATTCCCCAAAAGATCCGAGGGATGTATAGTGGACGTCCCCAGCTTTGAGCTTTAACTCCATTGCCTGGACAGCTCTGCAAAGCAGAGGAAACACAGAGCTCAGCAGAGCACCCATGGAATTCCGGCCAACCCTCCGCAGGGTCACAGGCTGCGAATGGCCAGCGAAAGAGTCCAGGGCCGCGCAGCGAACAGCGCCGGGGACGGCCCTATCCCTGCACCGCCGCAGGGAACCGCGGGAAGCCTCTAGAGCAGGACCCAGAGGTCCTCGCGCCTCTGGCCCCGCCCCTTCTTCCCGAGCTCGGGTCCACCCGGCGGCCTCACCATTACCACCAGGCACTCGCTGTGCACGGAAGGGAGCCCCCAGCCGCCTCCCCAGCAACTGAGCTCCAAGGGGGCCGCCATGTTGCCGGGCCGACCTTCCTTACCCCGGAAGCACTTTTGCCGCTCGATTTCCGCCACGTGGGAATACGGAGGCGGAGCGAGAGAGAAAGAAAGGTACCATTGGGCTCTGGAGAGATAAAGAAATAACCACTGGACGGGTTAAAAGCACGCTTACGCTTAGAAAAACGGGTTAAAAGCACGCTTACGCTTAGAAGAAAGTTGGCTTTGGCCTACGGGTTATGAGTCCTGAACTTTAATACACACTTGCCAGCCATTCCCCAAATATTTATTGGATGCCTACTGTGCACCAATGAGTCCTTGGAAAGGTTGGGAGTTCTAATTTCCCCAGAAGCGCCTCTGAAGAATGGCCCGGTGATCAATTCACAGAAAATCAGCCACTGAAAACTCTACAGAGAGCACAGGTCTACTCTGACACAGAGGGGGTCACCGTGACTTGTAGCTGAGCACTATTTCTTGTTGTTAGGTGCTGTGAAGTTGGCTCCAACTCCTAGTGACCCTATGTACAACAGAATGAAACACTGTCCATCCTCACAATCCTTGCTAAGTTTGATACCATTGTGGCAGCCACTATCAATCCATCTCCCTGAGCTCCTTTTTAGCTGATCCTCTACCAAGCCACTCCTTGGAAGGAAGGTTGGGCAATCTACTTCTGTAGTGATACTGCCTTGGAAACCCAAGAAGGGATCACTATGAGTTGGGTTTGACTCGGCACATAACAACAACAACTACCAAGCGTGGTATGGATCCTCTACGAAGCAGGGAATGGTTGCTTCGGACAATGTGACCAAAGTAGGTGAGAAGAAGGTGAGCATTGCTACAGAGTCTGAAGTAACCCATTTGAGAAATAGGGTTGACAATTTATTTATAAGATTGTTGTGAGTTTTTAGAATGATGACATGGGGCAAAAATTTGGCACAGAGTGAACATTCAATAATTGTTCAACCTGGTTTTCCTGTGCTATTTGACCTCTGCCTACCTTTCCAGTCTCAACAATTATATCATCTTCATGTTCACTTGCTCCACCCTCCTTAAAAATAACCCTATTTCTGAAATTCATGCTGTCCTTTCTGTCACCCATTAGCACTGTTCCTTCAGTCTGGAGTATCTCCCCTATCCAAGTTCTCCTTCAAAAATGAGCTTAACTCATTTTAGCTCCAAGGGTAGGAATTCCTAGGAAAGAAAGACACAGGGAAAAGGTAACCACAAGGAGAAGGTGGGAAGAAAGCTATTACATTATGGGGATGCAATTGCAATAGGAAAAAAGAGTCTCCAGATTCAAACAGGTCCAGTAGAAACATATTTATTAAGCCTTAGGCAGGACAAAGACAAAACAAAGACAACAATCCAGGTTGAGGGAAACCATCAGTGGAGACACAACACAGAAAGCTGAATGGAGTCCACTGAGATATGGCCATGGGGCTAATTATAAATGATTGAAAACAAAGAGAATCATCACAAAATAATGATTGGTGGCAGATCACTGTCGCAGGCAGGACTACAAGATCGGAAAAAGGAGCATGATTGGGATAAGTACCTAACTAAAAGTTAAAAAGGATTACAGAATTGGTCCTGGGGCTTGACCACCTAGCTAGGTCGTGATCTGGATGTGACTCATCACCATGTGACCTGAGTTTTAGCCACAAGGGAACTAAAAGACAATACCAGGACCCCAAACTTAATTTAAGTTAGATAAAGACACACCCAAACAATTTCCCTAGTTTTTTGTGTGAGCATAATCTACTTTCAACCACTCTTGCTGAGGGCAAACTGCCCCTTCTTAGGTTTGTCCTAGAACTTGTCTGTATGTTGGTTTAAAGATCAGAAAGAACTTAAATGGCATCTGAAACTTAGGTCAAGCTTCAGAATGGAGTTAGGGCTCCCACTGTACACTGCAGTCTTCCACAAAAGGAGTGTGTTGGAATTTAAGCTCTAATAAAACTCTAACACACAATCCATGTCATAAAACAAAGTGTCTATGAACCATTGAATGGAAAACAAATTAGCTCTGTAAACTTTAACACAAATGACAACTGAAGAAGAAAAAATAGAGCTTAACTATCAGCTTGGAAAGAGTTTACAGTTAGTAGCTTCTTCTGGGTTCCTGCAGCCCCTTACACATACTTGAATTGTAGTTCTGGTGGTGTAGTGGATAAGGCATTTGGCTGCTAACCTGAAGGTCAGTGGTTCAAACCCACCAGCAGCTCCATGGAAGGAAGATGGGCAATCTACTTCCATAAAGATTTACAGTCTTAGAAACCCAATGTGTGTTGCTATGAATCAGAATCAGCTTAATGGCAGTGAGTTTTGGGTTTTTTCTTGTTTTGTTTTTTTTGAGTTATCCCTTGTAACAGACCTTTTGCCTTCCACTATACTTGAAGCTCTTTGAAGACGCAACAGGACCAACTCTAGCTGCACAGGGCCTTATACTCAGTGGAGACTCACACTTAGTTTCACACTCTGCTGTCACTATCTTGAAATTCCCAATACTTTTTGAACAAAGGGCCCTGTATTTTCATTTTGAACTGGTTTCTGCAAATTACATAGCCAGTCACACTGCACCACCAAAGCTCCTTTGGTCATGTCACCAGATGGGCCTAATAGGCATTGACTAAATGTTTCTTGAGCATTAAACTGACAATTTCTCAGAAAAACTATCAAAGGGGAAAGACAGGCTTTGGAAATGTTAGATTCAGTCATATTTACTGGGCCCCAGAGTTATAACTTGGGTGCTGGGTCTTTTTTCTAGATGGCACTGTAGTCTTCCCTCGATACCCACAGTCATGCCTCTGAGCACTTTCCTTTCCTCTGCCTCATTGAGATGGTTGAGTTTCTTCAAACAACCGAAAGCTCAAAAGAAACCTCTTCAAATTTTCATGAAATTTCTAATCAATAAATCACTGCTAGGCAGTTCTTTGCTGTATACAAATCCATCTAAATAACAGTGCCAATCTGCTAAAAAACATTTTTTCATGTCTCAAAGACAAGAATTCTCAGAAATGGGAAGGAAAAGGTATATCAAAGATGGGGAGTCATTAAAAATACTTTAAAACTGAGAAATTCTTAACATATGTGCCATTAAAACTAAATATCAAAACATTTATTAAGCAGACTCTATAAGTCTCTGGGAGAATACAATGATAAATAAAACATGAATTCCAAGGAGCTCTGGTAGCGTAATGCCTAAGGCACTTGACTGCTAACCAGAAGGCTGGCAGTTCAAACCCACCAGCCACTCCTTGAAAGCAAGATGGGGCAATCTACTTCCATAGTGATATTGCCTCGGAAACCCAAGGAGGGGTCGCTATGAGTCGGGTCCGACTCAATGGCACATAACAACAATAACATAGTCTGCAGCAAGTACAGACACGCAACTCTGTATAACAAGTCAGGTTATTATGAGTCAGATTAGAGGTATAGAAGCACAAGGAAGGCATCATGTATCCTCTGTGGGATCAGAGGAGGCTGTCTTTTCAGTCTTCAATATAAAGAAAGTAATTCAACTTTCAGACTGAAGTTAGAGGACCTCCCTGTTTTGAGGGTTAAAATCCTAAACCATGAAGCTCAGAGTCCAAATATTCCAATCAGGCATTTAAAACAATCATACGTAGCGATCAATCTGGGAGAACAAAGGGCAGTTCTTGCACAGGAAGATTGCTCAGGGGTCGGAAGTGCATGGGAGAGAAGGACACAGAGAGAAAGTAACTACAGGATGAAGTGGGGAGAGAGCTGTTACATTGTGGGGAATTGCAGTCAGTGTCATAAAACGAAATGTGTATGAACTGCTATACAGAAAATGAATTTGCTCTATAAACTTTCGCCCAAACCACAATAAAAAATTTTTTTAAAAAAATCATACACAGAGATTGTGGATTCCCAGACTTTTTCTTGTAGCAGTGTGGATGAGCATTCCACTCCTCAGAAGGAAGGTTGGGCAATCTACTTCCATAGTGATACTGCCTTGGCAACCCAAGGAGGGGTCGCTATGAGTCGGGTAGACTCCAAGGCACATAACAACAACAATGTTACCAGTTACTCACAATGTTATCTATCAGTTCAGTCTTCTCCTTTACTGCTGCTGTTACATGGTATGTCCTCATTTGCATTAAAGAGAAATTAAATCTTTTCACTTGACCTTGAACTGAGGCAGGGAATAGCATGCCATTGCATCTAATGATAGAATCCTTACACACAGGTTTATTTGTGCCCAGTCAATAGTCATATTTTATTGCTGCAGTTCCTGTTGAGAGTGTGTATTTGCTAGATTGAATTTTAAAATCCTAGTGCAACTGATTGCACAACCAGGATGAATACTGTTCCAGAGAACCACATAGAAAATTGAAACCTTCAGGAATTATGCCTGGTATGGGTGGTTGCCCTGTATCTTTTCCTGGTTGCTAAACAGTATTGTTCAGAGTTCATCAAAATTGTAATTTCAGATGCCTACCAGGAAACTTACTATCTGCAAAACATTCATGTACGTGTGGGATGACCGTAATTGCAGCATTATAATGAATATTCCAGACTGTGTTTTCCCTGAAAAAGAAATCTTATTTTTCAAAAAAATGGCCATTAAAAATTGTTTCATCTAATAATGGTCATCTTAACTCAGAGGACCACTCTATCCCCAGTATGTTCTATTAGAATCTTTCTCTCTGTGTGATTAAAAATCAGTAAAATTATACTGTAGGCAAAGATGAGGAAGCACTGGTATCACTGTGCCTAAGGCATTTGACTGCTAACTAGAAGGCTGATGGTTCAAACCCACCAGTCACTCCTCAGAAGGAAGATTGGGCAATCTACTTCCATAGAGATACTGTGTCGGAAACCCAAGGAGGGGTGGCTATGAGTCAGGATCGACTCAATGGCAGTGAATTTGTTTCTTTTTTTTCAGGCTAAGATTAAAGGTTTGTGACCAGTGATCTTGCAATATGGTCCTCTCTGGTAAAGTTGAATGAGAAAGCCTTGACTATAGTGGCTAAGACACTTGCCTGCTAACCAGATGGCTGGCGGTTCAAACC